TTGATATCTGGTCTTTTATGATCACTTTTATTGATCTTTGCCTCAAGCAATTACATCCGTCATACTAATAATCAAGGCTTTCTAGATCTTCAGTTAAAACTCTGCTGTTTAATCTATGTTTAATAGTGAGAAATATGTGTCTGAACATTTAGTGCAAGAAGTTTTATGGTTCACATGAGCAATTTTTATAGGTTCAAAGTATGCCTATTTATTCCAATTTAAATAAGGAAAGACTACAGCGAAAAAAATTGTTATTCTCTGCTCTTACTAATATTTGCGTCTAATTCTTTTAAACCGATCAATTTCTGTGTTTTTAATACTTGTTCTTGAATATCATGCTTATCATATTTGAGAGAACGTACAATATTTTTTACCAAATCTATATTGCTATTTGATTGTAATTTTTATTTAATGACATGAAATGGTCATGATGACATTAAATCGACGTTTGTGTATGTAAAAAATTTTTAGCTGATAATTTAAACAATGATTCGTAAAAGTCTAGAAATAAAACTAACTTTGGCATTTTTGTTTTATATAATGTTCTAGAAAATTCACTATAGGAAGAAAGAAGTCAGAGAATCTATCTAAATTTGAGATTTGATTAACACTAAAATCTTATAGGTCTTTTACTTTATCGTTTTCCAAAAAAAATTGGTTTTAAAAAATTTGAATTTTAAATTATCTTGCATATTAACCTAACATCAACCATCTGGTTATTAAGCACCAATCTGCGATGAATACATACCAGATTAGTCTAAAAACCTCTGTTCAAACTTTACAATTTCTACATGAATGATTTCTTCTTCCGTCTTTATTTTTCATTACTTTAATTTTATTGGTTGGCAAGTGCTCCCACTGTTGCTAATTTCTCGCACATCTATGAGATTCACAAGTTTATATGATTGAGTTTTAGAAAATAGTTTCAAGCAATTAAAGAATTTTTAAATATGTAAATAAATTAATGATGTCCCTTTTTGTTTTAGTCAAGATCTTGGGAAAAAATAATAAAAACTATTATCTTTTTCATGATCTTGACATATGAAAATTCTTGAACAGATCTTGCCAAAATCTTATATACAGATTTATCTGATACGATCAAGATATACATAAGCGAATTATCTTTTAAAGATCTTGCTTATAAGATATTTTAGTAGAGTAGAGTTTTGAAAAAAAAGATTAAAGTTATTTTTTTTCTTAAATTATATATTGTACGTTATGAATGCATTTTATTTATTAAAAAAACCAATTCAGATAAGTCTGTTATTTCTTTTAAATTATTTTAGTTTATATTCTCAAATTATTGACAAATGTAAAGAACAATATACTATGATTAACAAAGCAAATACATCATAATATAATTATCATTGAAATATGTAAAAATCGAATTCTCTTATTTAACATACATTAATTTGGTTGTTTTTCTTTAACGACAAAACAAGTGAATCATGTGCTAATTTAACAATGGCTGTTCGAACAAATTATTACATACTTGTGTATGATTTTTCTTTTTTTGTTGAATACTTCAAGAAAAAAACGTTATTTATTATTAGGTTAGAACGCATCTTGATGAAATTCGAACTAAAACTGCAAATCAATTGAAAAAAAACAATGTCAAATGAAGATAATGGTTTGTGGATTTTCAAAAATAACATATTATAATATTCTTTTTTTGGTCTAGTATCTGCTGTTGAATCCCTTATTGTTAATGATAAAAATAAACTTATTGAATTGAATAAAAAACTGGATCGAGAAATAATTTCTTTTGTTAACTTAAAGGAATCGATTGATATAATTACATATACGTATCGTACGTGAAGCTTTTGTAAATTATATAGAAAAAATTCAATTAGATTATGAAGATATTATTTAAACTTGATGATTTTGAAAAACAATTAACTAATATACAAACATCAATTGTTGAACTCGAAGCCTGGTTTAGTCATAAGTAAAAGACAAAAAAAAAGAAAATCATATTATTATAGAAATTACAAAATTTAGATAATCATCGAAATCAATAACGCAAAAGTAATTCATTTTTCTTTTTCTTGTTTTTCTTCTGCAAAAGAAAAAACTTATATTTATTCATTGTTTCTTTATTCCCCATTTAGAATTATGTCATGTTTATTTTGATTTGATTAAAATAAAAACCTAAACAAGATCCAGTGATTTTGATACAATGCGTCAATCTCATAAAGTATTTTCATCTTTTACTAAAGATCATAAGGATATATAATTGCAGCTTAAGAACTTGCTACGAAAATATTTGTTTTATTTTGATGAAACAATGACAATAGTTTTTATCAATTTTAAGTGTTATTCTTCATCCATGCGTTTTATCACTACGAGAAACCGATTTACAAGAAATTCAATAATAAATTAGTCATACAATTGATTTTTGATATAGTTGTCACAGTAGCACAAAATTTTAAAAAACAAATAATAAAGAAAATAGACGATGATATATATGAAACATGTCATGTATTTGATAAATATGGTATTGGTTATGTTAGTGTTGCTAAACTGAAACATTCTATGCTTTCATTGATTGAATAATTTACAGAAGAAGTTCACGAATTAACACATAAAGCTGATATTGATGCTGATGAACAGTTTGTATCGAATTAACTAGAAACTTAAAAAAAATAATTTCACTCACTTTTCTACTTCCATTCAGATGCAACTGCGAAGATTTTGTATGAATTTTAACAAATAAACAACGCGAAAATATGATAGAATTTTTTGGCAATAATAAAATGAACAAAAAATAATATCCATTCCGTCTGATAAAAAGTCAAATTGCTTTCCTATGTAATCTCTATAATTCATACATTTCTCTTTTTTTTTCTTTCACGTTCTATTTTAGCAATATCTGTGATTCGATATATTTCTTTCTTCATTCTTGCTTATTTTGTTTAATCTTTTAAATTGTCATTATTGCTTTAGTTTTTTAAACGTAAACTTACATATGAATGACAAAAAGAAAAATTCTTCTTCTTTTNTCAAGAAAAAAAACGTTATTTATTATTAGGTTAGAACGCATCTTGATGAAATTCGAACTAAAACTGCAAATCAATTGAAAAAAAACAATGTCGAATGAAGATAATGGTTTGTGGATTTTCAAAAATAACATATTATAATATTCTTTTTTTGGTCTAGTATCTGCTGTTGAATCACTTATTGTTAATGATAAAAATAAACTTATTGAATTGAATAAAAAACTGGATCGAGAAATAATTTCTTTTGGTTATTTAAAAGAATCTATCGAAATAATTGCATATGTATATCATATTTCAAATTTTTGTAAATTATATAGAAAAATTTCAATTAGATTATGAAGATATTATTTAAACTTGATGATTTTGAAAAACAATTAACTAATATACAAACATCAATTGTTGAATTCGAAGCCTGGTTTAGTCATAATTAAAAGACAAAAAAGAAGAAAATCATATTATTATAGAAATTACAAAATTTAGATAATCATCGAAATTAATAACGCAAAAGTAATTCATTTTTCTTTTTCTTGTTTTTCTTCTACAAAAGAAAAAACTTATATTTATTCATTGTTTCTTTATTCACCATTTAGAATTATGTCATGTTTATTTTAATTTAATTAAAATAAAAACCTAAACAAGATCCAGTGATTTTGATACAATGCGTCAATATCATACAGTATTTTCATCTTTTACTAAAGATCAGAAGGATATATAATTGCAGCTTAAGAACTTGCTGTGGAAATGTTTGTTTTATTTTGATGAAACAATGACAATAGTTTTTATCAATTTTAAGTATTATTCTTCATCCATGTGTTTTATCACTATGAGAAACCGATTTACAAGAAATTCAACAACAAATTAGTCATACAATTGACTTTAATATATTTGTCAAAGTAGCACAAAATTTTAAAAAACAAATAATAAAGAAAATAGACGATGATATATATGAAACATGTCATGTATTTGATAAATATGGTATTGGTTATGTTAGTGTTGCTGAACTGAAACATTCTATGCTTTCATTGATTGAATAACTTACAGAAGAAGTTCACGAATTAACACATAAAGCTGATATTGATGCTGATGAACAGTTTATATCTAATTAACTAGAAACTTTTAAAAAAAAAATAATTTCATTCATTTTGCTATTTCCATTTAGATACAACTGCAAAGATTTTCTACGTATTTTATTAAATAAATAGCGCAAAAAATGTGATCGATTTTTTTGTCAATAATAATATAAACAAAATAATATACACTGTATCTCATAATAAGTCTAATTGCTATTCCATATAATCTCTATAGTTCATACATTTCTCTTTTTTTTTCTTTTATGTTCTATGTTAGCAATATCTGTGATTCGATATATTTCTTTCTTCATTCTTGCTTATTTTGTTTAATCTTTTGAATTGTCATTATTGCTTTAGTTTTTTAAACGTAAACTTACATATGAATGACAAAAAGAAAAATTCTTCTTCTTTTGCCTTCATTGATTTGATATGAATGATGAAATAGTTAAATTATTTATTATTATATTTAATTGTTGAATATCTATCTGATGATGATAATACTGCAAGGAAAAAAACATCAGAATATTATATATTTTTTTTCTTTTACATATTGTCATAGTAGAAACGACTAGTATTAAACTTCGTAGTTATTTTAGTAGTAAGAAGGTAGAATAGTTTATGATGGTTTCAAAAAGTTTGCTCTTATTGTGCAATGAGACTTTATTTTGTCTTTCTCTCTCTCTCTCTCTCATTAATGTTGGACAAAAGTTGCACGTGTGTCACCTACTTATTATTCTTTATTTTATCATATATTTGCTACGCAAATAGTGCTATTGTTCGAATTAGTACGATTTCTATTATATTTGCTATCTATCATCATTCTACGTTTCCTCTCTCCTCTTCATTTGCATAACTATTTTTCATCGGATTATGGACAAGTGATCAACATTTTTTCGAGCGTCGGCTTTGTCGATGGAGCATAATCCATATAGTATTGCGACGATAAATACATACTCCGCACGTTTCACTTCTTTCTGTCGTAGAAGAGGTATTTTTCTTCAATACTTCTATCTTTCACAATCAAAAAATGTAAAAGGGATAAAGCACTGTCGTGGAGAGTCACAACTTCATTTTGTATTGAGAATATCTCTCCATATTATGCTGGGATTCGATGACCGCTGCTTTCTCATGTGAAAGAATGCTATTACAGCAAAAGGAATACGTATAAAAATGTACACACATATGTTTCTTCTTCAACTCTTCGTTACAGTGTTATTTTCAATAAGCCAGTTCCAGAATTAATTTAAATGTATATAATAGAGGTTTTTTTTAATAGATAAATTGTATTATTACCACAAATGATGAATAAATATTTAAAAAATGAAGCAAAAAAAGGTGAACGCAAAAAATATGTAAAAGAAATTCACGTTTACAATGACAATGGGCAGTTACTGGATAATTCTCATTGATTGATTCCCTTGAAGGATAGTCTTTGTTGATGAATTATGCAATTGATTGATGATAATCTATTGATTGTTTGAAAGAAAAAAGGTCATTGAACTGAGAAATAAAAAAAAAGATATGAAATTAAAAAGCTCTGTTATCGTTTATATTAAAGTCACATGAGCAGAAATTTAATCGATGATGGTGCATATCAACTTCATCAAGAAGAAGAGTAAGACAAAAAAATGAAAAACAAAAGAAAGAAAAAGCACATATCCACGTCCATCAATGACTTCGGCTATTCAGCACAAAGCAGATATTATCACCAATACCAAGACACATTATATCAAAGAAAATCAATACGAAATTTATTTTATTTATCTCACATGTGTGTATCTGTCCAGTTCTGTAGGTTAGATGATCTTTTTTTTTTCTTTAAATTATAGTCGCATCTTTTTATGTTAATTTTTTGAACTCAAGGTGATTTTTGTTTTGATTTCTCTTTCTTTTCTCTTTTCTGTTTTTTTTTCGTTCTCCAGCTATCTACACATGTGTATAGAGAGTGAATTGATATTTACATGTTTTTTTCTTTATCGATAATAACTATTTCATTGTGTACAATGTCGAAGTTTTATTCAAGGAAAAAAAACGACAATAATAAACTATCAAACATCGCTATGCTCTTGAAAGTTTGATTAAAATTGTAGCTTTTACATAAATCTAATCAAGTTCATATATTATAGTAATAAAGGAAATAAATTATAAATATCTTCGAAGGACAAAAAAAAAGTGGAATTGATTTGCTTTCTTTTGAATGCTTCTATTTGAGATAAAAGAGACAAATCGATTCATCATCAAATGAGGATTAAATAAATGAAAGCATAAAGCCAATCAATCTGATCATTAGAGTCGGTCTCAACAACTTTTCTTCTACTAAATCTATTCTTTGCCAACAACATGAAGCTTGTGTTCAACGTTTTCCATTCAACCTCTAAATCCGAATTTTAATCACCAATAGCGTCATTGANGTAGAATAATTTATGATGGTTTCAAAAAGTTTGCTCTTATTGTGCAATGAGTCTTTATTTTGTCTTTTTCTCTCTCTTTCTCTCTCTCACATTAATGTTGGACAAAAGTTGCACGTGTGTCACCTACTTATTATTCTTTATTTTATCATATATTTGCTACGCAAATCGTGCTATTGTTCGAATTAATACGATTTTTATTATATTTGCTATCTATCATCATACCAGGTTCCCTCTCTTCTCTTCATTTGCATAACTATTTTTCATCGGATTATGGACAAGTGATCAACATTTTTTCGAGCGTCGGCTTTGTCGATGAAACATAATCCACATAGTATTGCGACGACAAATACATACTCCGCACGCTTCACTTATTTCTGTCGTAGAAGAGGTATTTTTCTTCAATACTTCTATCTTTCATAATCAACAAATGTAAAAAAGATAAAGCACTGTCGTGGAGAGTCATAACTTCATTTTGTATTGAGAACATCTCTCGATATTATGCTGGAATTAGATGACTGCTGCTTCCTCATATAAAAGAATGCTATTACAGCAAAAGGAATGCGTATGAAAATATACACACACATGTTTCTTCTTCAATTCTTCGCTACAGTGTTGTTTTCAATAAGCCAGTTTCAGAATTAATTTAAATGTATATAATAGAGGATATTTTTGATAGAAAAATTTTATTATTACCACAAATGATGAATAAATATTTAAAAAATGAAGCAAAAAAAGGTGAACGCAAAAAATGTGTAAAAGAAATTCACGTTCACGATGACAATGGGCAGTTACTGGATAATTCTCATTGATTGATTGATTGTCTTAAAGGGTAGACTTTGTTGATGAATTATGCAATTGATTGATGATAATCTATTGATTGTTTGAAAGAAAAAAGACCATTCAACTGAGAAATAAAAAAAAAAGATATGAAATTAGAAGGCTCTGTTACACGTTATCATGAAGTCGCATGAGCAGAATTTTAATCGATCGTGGCGCATATCAACACCATCAAGAAGAAGAGTAAGACAAAAAAAATGAAAAAGAAAAAGAAAAAGCATATATACAAGTCGATCGATGACTTCGACCGTTCAGCACAATACAGATATCATCACCAACACCAATACACATTATATCAAAGAAACTCAATAGTAAATTTATTTTATTGATGTCACAAGTGTGTATATGTTTTGTTCTGTTAGGTTAGATTATTCTTTTTTTCTCTAGATAATAATCTCATCTTTTAATGTAATGGTTTTTTTGAACTCAATTTGATTTGATTCTGATTTCTCTCTCTTTTCTCTTTTCTGTCTTGTTTTCGTTCTCTAGCTATCTACACGTGTGTATAGAGAGTGAATCGATATCTAAATGTTTTGTTTTTCATCGATAATAACTGCTTGATTTTGTACAAGGTCGAAGTTTTGTTCAATAAAAATAAATAAATAAAAATAAACTATAAAACATCGCTATGCTCTTGAAAGTTTGATTAAAATCGTAACTTTTACTTAAATCCAATCAAGCTCATATATTATAATAATAAAGGAAATAAATCATAAACGTCTTCGAAAATCCAAAACAAAACTGAAATTGATTTTTTTTGAATGTTTCTATTTGATAAAAAAAAACAAGTTGATTCGTTCGATTTGTCGTCATCTGGTGATTGAATGCACGAAAGCATGAAGCCAATCAATCTGATCACTAGAGTCGACCTCAATGACTTATTTTCTACTAAATTTATTCTTTGCAAATAACATGAAGCTTGCTTTCAACGTTTCCCATTCAATCTCTAAATCAGAATTTTAGTCACAAATAACATCATTGATATGAATTTGTAAAAAAAAATGATCAGCTTCGTATTTCATCTACTAGCAGATGCACAATTCGATTGAGCCGAAACTTTGTTTGACCATTGTAGAAGATGAACATTTATGCATTCTATTGATTTTTTGTTGC